TTATATATAGTAGTAAAATGTAAATAACATTGTGTCCTAAAATATACAACTTTGAGTGATTTTTCACTCTAGTAATTTCTAGCTTACATTATTCCTGTATTCATCTGAGACATTAAGTGCATTACTTACCTATAATGCAATTGAGCAACAATACACGTAAAAAAATAATACTAAAAAGCTAATACTTCTTTTCCTTTCTTAGTAATATGGTAAATGCCATTTGAAGAATTGTATTTATTCTTCTTCAAAGTCTACTGCAGTTCACAAGACTTTTTTTCTATTCTTTCAAGATTAAACATGAACACATGATATTCAAGATTTTTCTTACACCGATGATTTGGCTTATGTCATCCAAAATGAAGCCTTTCTGTCCTGGAAGTCAGGTTTCCATTTCCTTTGAGAGTTCTTTCAAGGTTGGCTCCACGAAGAATCTGATTTTTCCCATTATTTTTTCAAGTTTCTGGAAAGAAAAAAGGTTCTTTGTTAAACCTAGTGAAATATTTCCTGCAATTTAACTTATTTATCATAACTTGAAAACAGCTTGAAAACAGAAAAAAATGAAAACCACCCCCATGAGGCCTTTATACACAATGGTTAAATGTTACAAAGCAAAATAAATGTGCTAGACATCAAAGGTTATAGAGCACTATAGAAAGGGGCCATAGAAATAAGGATGAAGAGTGGGGTTAGTTGGTTATTAACCCATTCCCGCTGGGCATGCCATGCCATGCCCACTGTGAGATTACTTGTTAGATTGTTTTCACACATAGATGGCTACACATGTACTAAATCACCAATGAGCCAGTTATGAGTACCGCCTGTCTCGCCCTTTCACCCTTTTCTTTGATTTACGAAATATTTTACGTTATCTTATTTTGCTGTTACTAATGTTAAAAAAATATTATAAAAATTATAATGTTTCTAATAAAAATAACACCATCGATATTCATGCTACCAGTGAAAAATACGTTTTTCCCGCCATTTCAAATCAGGTGCTAACAGAGCCATCTATGGGCAGATATTTAACAAAAAAGTATAGAAAATAGGCACAGCATTTTCCCCATTTTTTGTTCATTTTCCCCGGCGGCAATGGCTTAAATGTGCTACATATCAATGAGGGTAGAAAGGGTGAGTATATGGGGAGAGAGTGGGGGGAAGGGGTGTAGGGGGGAACATGAGGAGGAGGTGATTGATGTTGGCAATTGCTTAGAGTGTGGAGGAAATGGGAGCAGGCATGTTATCTTGGTTCACGATTAGATAGTTTTGAAGGTCTTTTTGGATGTTTCTGAAGCAGAGTTGGCTGAAAGGTCTGAGAAACAAAAATCCCATTTGACTGGACTAAACAGATTATTCAAAAGGTTTGAAGAAGTGGGGGGTAGTGGAAGAGGAAGTAGTGCTAAGAGTAGTAGTACTACAGAGAGATTGACAATAAGATGCATAGTAATAATAAGGGAGGAGGGGGCAGTAGATGAAGAAAGTGTGGGGGTAGAAAAATAAAGGGTGTTGGGTGAGGAGGAATATTTTCTGGAGGTTGAGTAATGAGCTGGGCAGATGATTTGGAGTGGACTGAAGTGAGAGCTCGTATTGAACAGGGAGTAGGAGAACCAGTGTTCTGAATCATGGTTAAAGGAGAGCCTGGGGTCAGAGAATTGGGGGAATTTAAATCTGTGGGGCTAGTTAATAAAGGGGCAAGCCTCAATGCCCCTAATAAAGGTGTAAAATCTTCATTACTGGCCATGGTAAGACTGGAGTATGTTGGGGATAGAAACAGCCCATGAATCAGGGTCCCCTTGAGGGATAAAGCCTAGACAGGGGAATACTGTGCCCTTGAGTTCCCCAGGGTATTCACAACTAACACAAAGTCAGCCTTTCATCCTTTCAACACAATTCTCACAACTTAGGGAGTAGATAGCAATAAGGGTTGGAGTAGAGAAAGAAGAGGAAAGGGGAAGAAGAAAAGACTGAGCAAAATTAGTTAAGGGCTGTGGTCTAAGGCAAGGTCCCAGTCTCTGTTTCCTAAGCCCCCACACAGCAACAACAGGCATTGGGTTGGGGGTAGATATACATAGAAAGTATTGTTTAAAAAAAGTAAAAGAAGAAGAAGAAAAAAATAACATCAGAAATCTTTAATCCCAAAAATACTGATTTTTATTTATGTCTCATGTGGTTGATTATACTGTATTTTTCTTTTTTGTGTTCTTGTTAGGCATAAACCAGCATAATGGAAGATCGGCAAGAAAGAAATGCAGAGAATATTAGTCACAGATATTGAACGTAATAGTGGAGGCCATTACAAATTCAAAATAGTAACTGAAAAGTTAATATGTATTTGACTAACATCCTCCTTCAAATTGATTTATTTGAAATATTATTACTACTTTTTTGCTTCCTTGCTTTCCATGCCTTTATATGGTAGCGATATTTGTAAAAAGTTAGAAAAAGTGTATAAATAAAAATAAAAGTTACATACCATTTTTTGTTACAGACACTCATAAAAATA